CCACTCACACCCCTATTAGAAGAACACTCTTCAGAGACAGAGCTGGCTACATTCCAGAAAATGTAGGGTGCTAGACTTTTGTTGTCAGTCTCACTATCTTGACTTGCTCAGGTGTATCTAAGCTCCCTTAAAAGCTTCACAATCCTTATTGAAGTAAGAGAGAAAACTGATCTGATGTAATCCAAAATTAGCGGATGAAAATGGAAAACTACTGACTTCAAATTTTCCAGTATTGTTTCTTTTATAGAAAATGATTTGACTCTTTGAAAAGGACAAGCTTTATGTATCTTTTATTCTTTGCTAATAGAAATCAAAGGAATGAAGACAAATTCAAGTCTTCCTTGAGATTTTAACCATACTTTGCATTGCAGAAGTTCAAAATGGCTGATATAATCTGTCTTGGATTGTTTGAAGGTTAGAAAAAAATTTTCTTAAGTGATGGCAGCAGGTTAGAGAGGTCTCCAGTGCTGTCCTAGAACATGAGTCACCACCCTGAAACAGCAAAATAAACAGGTGGCCCCAAAACAACTTGCTATTTCAAAACAATAAGAAATGTTTTAGCCTATTCCGATAGCATCTTCAAGTACATATGAAATATCAGTAAGTCACTGTCCTCACTGTATTTATAAAGGACAAAGAGAAGCAATAGAATTATTATGTACCCTGTGTTTCTTCTTCCACTAACAGGAACACGGATGAAAAAAATCACCATTGACAAAACAAAACATCTGTAAGTAGAGAAGAAACCAAGTTCTTAATTTTTAAGTCAGCCAAGGTTCTGACTCAGCTATGGCCCTCCATCCAGTGAAATGTGACAGGGTCCACACATAAGGCAGCTGCTGGCTAAGTGGATAATGCTTGTTAGCTTCCATTTAGAAATAGCCCCCTTTCATTGGTATGCCTCTTGCTCCTCAGACTGCTACCCACTCCCAAGTCATTTTATCCCCCTGCCAAAATGAGAACTCCATCACTTCTTATAAGCCCAGCCACTGTTATCTCTTGCCTGTATTAGTGCAATAGTCTCCTAACTGGGTTCCTTACTTGACTGTAATCTCTGCATTCTATTCACAGAGAGGCCAGTTTTAAGTATGGTGATATTGATATAACATAAGCTTAACCATTTTAAAGTATGCAGTTCAGAGACATTTCATGCATTTGTATCTTATACACCATCCATTCCAAAACATTTTCTTCACCCTGGAAATAAATCCTATACCCAATAGCAGTCATTCCCCAAACCTCCTTCCCTAAGCCCCTGGAAACCACTAATCTGCTTTCTGTGTTTCTGGATTTGCTTTTTCTGTGTCTCCATATAAAAGGAATTATACATCATGTTACTTTTATATCTGATTTCTTTCACTCTTCATATTTTCAAGATTCATCCATGTTGCAACGTGTATCAGTAATTCATTACTTTGTGTGGTTAAACAACAGTCCATTGTACACATACCCCACATTTTCTTTATCCATTCATCAGCTGATGAGCTTTTGAGTTGCTTCTGTTTTTCGGCAATTATGAATACTGCTGCTATAAACATTTATGTAAAAAATTGCTGTTTTAATACCTGTTTTCAAGTATGTGGGTATATACATGAGAGTAGAATGGCTGAATCATACGGTTTTAACTTTTTGAGGAAAGGCAAAACTGTTTTCCACAGCAGCGGCACCTTTTTACATTCCTACCAGTCCTGTACAGGGATGTCACTTCCTCCATATCTTCACCAAGTTTCTTTTTCCTATTGCTACAAAAATCTTTCTATTGTTGTAGCTCAGATAATATAACTCCTCTCCACTGCCCATCATTTAAAATAAAAAGCAGGGTCCTGAATGATTGGGGATAAGACTCCCTGTCTCATCTCATCCCCCATTACTTTCCTTCTTTCTCACTTCGTGCCAACTACATTATCCTACCTGTCAATCCTCAAAAGTGCCATACTTGCTCCCACCTCAGGGTCTCTGCTCTTGCCTCTGTCTGTGATATCTTTCTCCATGATGTCTACATTCTACTCCCTTATTCCAGCTTCAGCTCAACGGCATCTCTCCTAAAATATTTGTCTTAAAAATTCCATACAACATAACCCACTGCCTAGGTTTCGGTTCTCTAGAAAATAAAGTATGATTCAAGAGTGAAATGCTTCCAGGCACAGTGGCACATGCATAATCCTAGCAGCTCCAGAGGCTGAAGTAAGAGGATCATAAGTTTGAGGCCAGCCTCTGTAGCTTAGCGGGGCTCTAAACAACTAAGTGAGACCCTGTCTCAAAATAAAAACATAAAAAGAGCTGGGGATGCAGCTCAGTAGTAAACCACCCCTGGGTTCAATTCCCAGTACAAAAAAAAAAATGCAGCAGGAAGGTAAGCAAATCTAAGATGGTACTTAAACTGGGTCTATTATATCCATTTTCCCTGATTTATTTCTTCAAAGTATTTTCCATTTTTCTAAAACTAAATGCTTAAACATATTTATTTTCTTCTTGCCTATTGTCTCTAAACTATGTAAGTTTCATGAAGGCAGGAATCAAATCTTCATCTCCTTATAGTTCCAATGCCTAGAACAGTCCCTGACATGTACTAGGGAGATTTTTAAAAAATTTTTATCGAAGGAAAAATTAATAATTTATTGACCTCCTATTGCTATAAATCCAGATCTACTTAAGCCTTTTCCTGCCAGTTTTATCTTAGTGATTTGGATGTGAGATTTTGACTTCCAACTAGCATTAGAGAGACATGAAAGACTATCCCTGTTATCCCAACAACTATAAATCAGAAAAGCCACAAAACCAGAGTTTCAAAGTACTGAGAATGCAAAGAATGAAAAGAGAATTAAATGTAAAGAAATGAAAATCCTTCCCGAGGAAAGAGTCACAGCTGCTTCTATCCTGAAGGAGCAGTCGGAAGAGGAGGAATCCTCCAAAATTTGGCTGGAGGAAACCAGCCAAATTTCAATAACTGTGTATAGATTAGCATGACAAATTAGCATGCCAGAAACCCCTGCAATAGACCAAATCTCTTCCACCTACCAGATGTTTACCTTCATCAAGTGCATGGGGGTGGTATGCCTAAGGAAGAAGCAGGAAAGCATTACTGAGAATCATCCAGATGGGGACCAGGCCTTGCTCAAGTGAAGGCAAAGGCCTGCTGAAGACATGTACAGCAGGAGAGGTGAGAAGAACCTCTTTGTGCACCACAGGACCACTAAGGGTCAGGCAACAGCAACCAAAGACTGGGGTTGAGATACAAGAGCTAAGAGATTCCTGCCAGTTCCTTTATCATCCCTCTGAAGTCTCAGGGCAGAGTTTTAGAGCCAAGAGAAATTTCCCAAGGTGTGGAAAGGGGGCAGGAGATCAGAGAACAAAATGAACTAACCTGCTCTCCAGAAAATAACCACCAGGCTAGAAAGTAGAGGGATATTTCAAGATTTCAGGGTATCCGGAGACTGACCCCACTGAAGGTAAAATCCACCCTCATAAACCCTAAAGGTAACAGTGAACTGAATCTAATGAAAACTTGGGCAACACTCAAACCGGAATCAACTGTGAAGTAGATTAATTCAACATGTTAGAAGAAGGGATGTGCCTTTTTCTGGTGTTGATATCATTTATTTTATCATCTACTAAACTTTATACAAAATGTAAAGTACACCATAAAAAATGAGACATATGAAGAAGCTAGATATAATGTGACCCATGGTCAAGAGAGAGAACTATTACTACAAAGCAGACTCAAATTTGAACCAACATAAACTGAAGTATACAGTGAAGATGACCAAGGCATATAAACACAAGCAGAATTTCAGCAGAGAAGAAAATTATAAAAACTATAAAATGGAAATGAGAAATATGTGATGCCACAGTCTGGCTGGGCACAAATTATGAGCCACTGAAGCAGGAACAAACTTTATTTCTTGCTGCAGTCTGGCTGGGCACAAAATCACGAGCCACCACACACCTTGTAGATTCAAACAGCAACTCTTTATTCTCGAACTGTCACCGGCACTTTACACACACGTTCTGGGCAAATCGACGTTCTGGGCAAAATCCACGTTCTCCACCGAGCTCTGAATCCCAAATACTCTCTGAATCTTTCGAGAACTCAACGGGAACTCAAGGAGCAGGCGCTCTTGAGGCAGCAGGATACGCCCTATTCCCAGCAGGGTACACCTTAAACCTGGAACCGCCCTAAACCCAAGGAGCGGGATACTCCCTAATCCCAGCAGGATACAGCCTAAACCTGGATCCGCCCTGGTCCTTGAGCAAGGTCACCTTACATGCAATGTCACTGCAAATGACCTGGGTCATGCCATACGTCATACCTACTTTGCAATGGCTCTCAGCAATTTCTGAACTCCACCAGCACACTCCACACATGCTCCCTGGGAACTCTCCTGAACACCACGCGACTCCTCCAGGAACCACCAACCGGAAATCCCTCCTCCAGCACTTCCCCAACCAATGCGAACTCTTCAGGAATCCCCGCGAGAGCTCAACCGGAACTCAATGGGAACTCTGCGAGAACTCAAAAGTCATCATCTTAATGGCTCACTGGTGGCACCTCTCAACCACTACTTCTGGCAAAAATGCCATGCGTCATCCCGACTTGGCTGTGGCCCTCAACATCTCCCCCTCTCTGTTTAAACAACAAGCAATGTGGCTTACGGACCGTGCCTGTTAGGTTGTCCAATACTACATATGGTCCTTACCCGTCATCCAATAAGCTGACCTCAAGGCGTCAGCCTCCTGTCTTAGGTTGGTACCACTGCAATTGGATCTTACCTGTCACTGACTACCGGTACAGCATACAGCCATACTTGTGGATAGGCCTATGCACCAGTGGGGGGGTGAGGTTCTTTGCCTCACCTCTGTTGGCCCCCAAATTTTATACCATCACTAGCAGAAGGGAGGAGGATACAGAAATGCCACAACACCAAGCCAATTGACGGCTCCTTTGGAAAAATTGTACCACCAGTGACACCATCAGCAAAGATACGCCAGCACTACCACAATTCGCTGCACCAACAGATAGTTTACAATGCATACAAGTGATACATAGTCCAGGCAAGTTCTGCAAGCAGTTCAAAGCAGAGGAATCCATCAATATGTTCATTTCCTCCCAAAGTAAATCGACTACTTGATTGAGCATCACTTGTTGAGTTATTATTCATTGATGCATCAGTTTATACAGTTTACTGTGATAGCTATCGAAGAAGCTGTAGTTTGGTTTTATCTTTGTCTTCACCGGCACTGGGATGAAGATAGGAATTCTGGCAATGATGGCTAAAAAAAAAAAAATATGTAACATTCCAACAGGTACTAAGAAAAGAATTTTCTGAACAATTTACATTATCCTGAACAGAATTATTAAATATAATGAAAAGGAAAGGTGAAAGTAAACAAACAGATCTGTTAACCTTTTTTGTTCACATTTTAAAACAGTCCTCAACATCTGTTTACCCAATTTAAATTAAACCATTTAAATCACATGAATAATAAAAATATTTGGATCCATTTTTTCATGAGCACTCCTCATATATGATATATGACATATGCACATACAGACATACAACACAAAACAGAAGTGTGTATACATAACACAATACATACAACACATATCATAATAGTAAAGGCCTTGTAGCTTTTCACAGGTGAAATCTCCATTGCAATGTTTAAAAACTCCACAGTCAAAAAGTAGAACTGATCAGAAAAACATTAACCTAGGTCTGTATGAGCTCAAAAAATAAAATAGAACTTCATGATGTGGGAAAAGGCAATAATAAAACATATATTGAAAAAGACATCCTGGTTACCACCTGGGTTTGACTCTTTTTTTGAATATCCCATCCTTTTTTCTGTAACTTGCATAATGGGTCTGAAGGTATTCCCACTAGCAAGCCCCAATGTTTTTTACATTTGAAATAGGCTTTAATGGTGTTCATTATTCATTAGCCTCCAGGTGTGGGAGAATCACTGTCGCAAATGTAAGAATAGCCAAGCTGGAGCTCTGGATATCAGCTGTTAAGGATTTGAGTCAAATCATCTTCTTTTTGGTCTGTAGAAATCACTTTGGTTAGTCTCTCTGGAATCCAAATCAACTGCTCTTATCCCTGTGGAAACACACAAACAGAACCCAGACTCCAGACAATCACTGGGTCAGGACCTTTCCATTGTCCTGTTAGAATATCCTTCCAAAGTACCTTAGGCTTATGTACATTTTTTGGATACATATGCCTTTCCACAGCACTAAGCCCTGATGAATCCAAATTTTAAAAGTTTAGAGTAAAAAGGGTTATTTTAAGTTTTTCTTTGGGGGATATATACCCTTTTCCAATTCCCTCTTTTTGCTTTAATAAGTACATTTTAATAGTTTGATGAGCTCTTTCAACTATGCCTCGTTCCTGTGGATTGTATGGAATTCCTGTTAGGTGAGTAATGCCAAATGATGAGCAAAATTGTTTAAAAGAGGTAGAAGTATAACCAGGACCACTATCTGTTTTTAACTGTTTTGGAACGCCCACAGTGGCAAAATTTTGTAAGCAATGAGCTATAATATCTTTAGTTTTTTCTCCAGCATGAAGGGAGCCCATCAAAAATCCAGAAGAAGTATCAGCTGTAACATGCAAATATTTTAATTTTCCAAATTCTGGCAAGTGTGTGACGTCCATCTGCCAAATATGGTTAGGTATCAGTCCTCTAGGATTGACTCCAAGATTAACTTGTGGTAAAAAGGTCACACAATTTTGACATTGTTTTATTATTTGTCTAGCTTGTTCCTTAGTTATTTTAAAATGCTTTTGTAAAGTATTAGCATTGACATGGAACCTTTTATGAAAATTTGTAGCTTCTTCTAGTGTAGAGAAAATATGTATGTCATGTGTAGACTTATCTGCTAAATCATTGCCCAAACTAAGGGCTCCAGGCAATCCTGTATGTACTCTGGTATGTCCTATAGAGAATGGATCTTTTCTGTCCCAGATTAGACTTTTTATAGTGGAAAACAAAGAGAAAACAGTAGAGGAAGGAGAAATCCTACTAGCATCTTCAAGGGATACTATAGCATTAACTATATACTATCAGAAAATAAATTAAATACAGAATCTTTAAACATCACAAAAGCTTGTAATACTGCATTAAGCTCTACCTTTTGACTGATTGTTTGGGTACTAAAAATGTAAAAGTTTGATCAGGGGTAACTACTGCTGCTGTACCATTATTTGACCCATCAGTGAATATATTTGGAGCATTCATGATAGGTGTTTTTCATGTCATTTTTTGGGAAAACTACAGGATGCGAAGACCAAAAAGACAATAAAGGATTAGATGGTAAGTGATTATCAAATGAAACATTAGATTTACACATGATTATTGTACAAGTATTTAACTCATTAGCTAACTCATCAATTTGATCCATAGTATATGGAGTAATAATTTTATTGGGAGAAATTCCAAACACTCCCTTCGCTGCTTTTATTCCTTTGAGTATTAATTGTCCTACAGCCTCAGGATACCTAGTAAGAATAGTATTAGGAGAATAAGATAAATGTATCCACAATAATGGACCTTCTTGCCAAAATACTCCTGTAGGAATATTTTTTGTTGGTGTTACAATAAATAATAAAGGCAAACTCATATCAATTCTATCCAAATGCATATTTTCCATATATGTTTCAATAATTTTTAAGGCCTTTCTTGCTTCAGGAGTCAACATGCGGGGTGAATTTGGATCTGATGGACCTTTTAGGATATCAAATAAAGGTCAAAACTCTCCTGTTGGTATGCCTAGATAAAGCTTCATCCAATTTATGGCTCCTAATAACTTTTGAAAGTCGTTAAGTGATTTGAGTTGATCTACTCGTATTTGAATTTTTTGTTGGACGGCCCATGGTTGAGGATAATAGAACTCCTAAATAATTAATTGGAAAATTTAATTGTACTTTATCTATTGCTATCTCTAGATAACAATTTTTTAATAAGTTTGTAAGTGTGGCATAACATTCTAGCAATGTGTTTTTAGCTTTGTGTGCTAATAATACATCATCCATATAGTGAAATATTTGTAGTTCAGGATTTTGATTTCTAAGTGGCTGGATTGCTTTGTTAACATAAATTTGACACATAGTTGGGCTGTTAGACATCCCTTGAGGGAGTACTTTCCATTCATATCTCTGATCAGGACCTTCATGATTCAGTGCAGGGATAGTAAATGCCAAACTTGGACTATCCTCAGGATGAATTGGAATTGAAAAAAAAACAATCTTTAATATCTATAGCTAAAACATACCAGGTTTTTGGCAAAGCAGACAATTGAGGAATCCCCGATTGAGCAGGTCCTATAATAAACATCTCATTATTAATGGCTCTTAAATCTTGCAATAATCTCCATTTACCAGATTTCTTTTTAATGACAAAAATGAGAGTATTATGGGGAGATATGGAAGGGTGTATATGTCCCTGCGCTAATTGTTGTTTGACCAGGTCATGGGCTGCTTGTATCTTTTCTTTAGTCAGGGGCCACTGAGGAACCCATACTGGTCTTTCTGATTTCCAAGTAATTTTTATTGTCTCAGTGACCCCTTCTGAAAACCCAATCCATGTCTATTTATTCCTTGATCTATTTGAATTGGTGCTGCTATACCTTGTTCTTATTCTCCTAATCTTTTTTCTTTCCTAAAACCTTGTCTAGCCCTAATAGTGGGTGCATTTGGATTGATGTTATTTGTTAATGTCAAACATAATTGATCTAGGACATCTCGTCCCCATAAATTTATAGGAAGATGATCCGATACATATGGCTGTATAGTTCCTTCACATCCTTCAGGATCCTTCCAATATAATACCATTGCACTTCTATGGGGATTAGTCGCCACTCCTAGGCCTCGAAGCGTTTGAGTGGCTTGTTGTAACTGCCAATGTTTTGGCCATTCTTGACGAGAGATGATGCTAAGGTCTGCACCTGTATCCAGTAGCATATTAAATTCATGTCCTTGAATATTTAGTTTTAGCATGGGGCGAGAATCTAAATTTAAAGACAGCATAGCCCAATCTACACCTGTGGAGCCTAATCTCCTGGAACCTCTTTCTATAGTACTACTGGAAAATTTTATCATGTAGGCTGGGTATTATTAATAACTGTGCTATTCTATCTCCTGGTGTAATTACTGATATACCCTTTGGAGAACTAGCTATAATTTTTATTTCACCTTCATAATTGGGATCAATTACCCCAGGACTTATCATAAGTCCTTTTAGAGTAGAAGAACTGTGTCCCAATAATAAGCCTACTGTTCCTTGGGGAAGAGGTCCTTTTACTCTTGTGGGAATGATTTGAACTCCCATCTCTGGAGTTAGTACTGCTCTGGCGGAGGTGCAGATGTCCAACCCTGCACTCCCTCTGGTTCGTCTGATGAGAGATCTGATGGATAATGTGTCCTGGGCACTACCCTGATGGTGTTGCTGGGTTCCTCCATGGTGTTGCTGGGTTCCTCCAGTGCCCCATATATTTGTGGTCGTGGGCCCCAGAGCATTGGGCCCCCCTATCCGTTTTTTGGCAATGGAGCCCGATGCTTTTCTCCACAATATCGTGGGTAAACACCTGGTCCTTTTCCGTTTTTTGGTAACGGAGTACCCTCTATGGTGGTTTGAGAATGGCATTCATTAGCCCAATGTCTCCCTCTATGGCATCATGGGCAAATATCCGGTATTCTCCTCCTTTGATACCTAGTTTTGTTAAACCCTCCTCCTATGGGGCAATTCCTTTTAAAATGTCCTGTTTGCTCACAATTGTAGCATGTTTTTGGCCTGGCATCTAAAGCCTGTTGTACTGCAGCTGCCAAGACTTGCCCTTGTTCATTAATGTCTCTACATAATTTAATATATGTGTTTAAATCTTCATGTTTTCATGGTCTAAGGACCTCTCTGCACCAACGATTTGCTTGCTCATAAGCTAGTTGTTTTATTAATGGCATTGCTTGTTCTGTATCCTCAAAAACTCTGGTAGCTGTTTGAATAAACCTATCTACAAATTCAGCGTAAGTTTCATTAGCTCCTTGTATTACCTTAGATAAATTGACCTTGTAAATCTCCATGTCCTTGTAAAGTCTTCCATGCCCTAACTGCGTCTCCAGCAATTTGTGCATATATAGCAGGATCATATGCAATTTGTTGCAGCTGACCCTCATAAGGTCCTTTTCCTAACAACATATCTAGATTTCTCTGAGGATAACCAGCTGCTGCATTTTGCCTAGCCGTCTCCGTGCAAAATTCCTCATTGGCAACCTTCCATAACAGGTATTGTCTTCCATTTAGCACAGCTTTACACATACTAGCTCAGTCTGCTGCCGTAATGTCCAAGTTGGTAATGGATTCGACCATGCTTACAGTGAAGGGTGCTTGGGGACCATAGGTTGTTACAGCCTCCTTTAACTGCTTCACTGTTTTGAAATTTAAAGCACGGTGAATTCTCTGCCCTCCTGCCTGCTCAAGTACAGGGCATGCTAATCTTTGAGGTCCTATCTCAGGATCCCATCTATCAACTATGGGGGTCGGGGGCCCCATAGGATATGTTGTCTCTATAGGTGGAGCTGTTGGTTGGACCCTTAGCCCTCTGGTGATAGAAAAGTGTTAGTAGCAGCCTCCTGTTGTAACTTTTTCCCTGATAGTTCTTCCTCCTTTAAATTTTCTTCCTCTGTCTGACTAGCTCGAGAGACCTTCTCTTTTACTTGATCTAAAATGTCTTTCTCCATGGTCTGAACCTCTAACAATTTACTTAACACTCTTTCGGTTTGTTTTTTACTAATTTCTAATCTACTATAAAGATAACGCGACCCAACAAGATAACACAAAACAAAACCAAAACAGAATGAAACAAAAACAGAACAAAAAATCGTTGTATCAATTTTCCTATTTTCTTGAAATGTATTTTCGTGGTCTATCTCTATCTCTTCCTCAGGGCCGAACAACTTTAAACCTTGAGCCAACCATTTTTCCCAGTTTGCCTGAGAAAGTTCTAGGGATAGGCAGCTTGAAACAAAAACAAAACAAATCAAAACAAGAACACATTGTTTTTTGAAATGGTCACCCATTTCTCGCCTTCCCTCAGGGGCATGCAATTTCACTTACCTCCGAGCTTCAGGTGTTCCCTGCATGGGTCGCCAAATGTGCAGTCTGGCTGGGCACAAATCACAAGCCACTGAAGCAGGAACAAACTTTATTTCAGAACTCCACCAGCACACTCCATACACGCTCCCCAGGAACTCTCCCAAATGCCACACGGCTCCTCCAGGAACCACCAACCGGAAATCCCTCCTCCAGCACTTCCCCAACCAATGCGAACTCTTCAGGAATCCCCACGAGAGCTCAACCAGAACTTAATCGGAACTCTGTGAGAACTCAAAAGTCATCATTTTAATGGCTCACTGGTGTCACCTCTCAACCACTTCTTCTGGCAAAAATGCCATGTGTCATCCCGACTCAGCTGTGGCCCTCAACAATGTGATCACAAATTCTCTCCATGGGTTCAGCCAGCTGGACAGGACAAGAAAGTGAACCGTGAACTTGGGGTTTCCACACTGGCTCTTTCCTACATCCAGAATGTTCCTCCCCACCACACCATGTGACTCACTCACTGCCTTGAGTTCTTAGCTCTTGTGTCATTGTCACATGGAAATGTATCTCCCAGACCCATGACAGATTTACTCCATAACATCTATTATGTTCAAGGTGTGTCTACAGATATATGCACACATGTACTCCCATATGTATTTATGTTCTTAGATATAATTATGTTGAAATTTATAAATGTCTCTCCCTGTTAGAATGTAAGCCCCATGTGTAAGAGATTTCATATTGTTTAATGCTCTAACCCTAGTATCTGCCTTTTATACTGAGAATGCAGTAGCTGCTGGGTTGATACTTATTGAATGGTTGAAATAAGGAATATATGAATGAAGCCTGGGAGCTTCTCTATTTATAGTATCATGTGCCCGAAGAGTAGAAGAAAAACTATGAAGTCATACCTCCTCAGTTTGTGGTGGTATAAATTTAAAAGCCAGTAAGAACAATTTTCTAAGTAGAGGCTCAAATGATCAATTCTGTGTAACAGGGTTAATTCTGGTGGCCGAGGAGTGCAATGGAATTGGCAGAGAGGAAATTGAAATTAAGGAAACAAATTAAAATGTTATCCCTATGCCAAAGACAAAAGGTGGTAGGAGCTGGAAGCAATGAAGGTGCATTATTAGAAGAAAATAAAATGTAGCAGGGGGAGCAAGAACCAGGAGGGCTTTTTGATAATTAAGCTTGGTGGTAGAGATGTGAACACAGACAAGCATTTGAAGATAGCTTTGAGGTTTCTACCTGTGGAAACTGGGAAACTACAATGTCTTTACACAGATAAGAAACACAGGAGCAGGTCCAAGTTTGTTGGTAGAAGATAGTACTTCTTTGGGGTCATTTTAAGAATGTCAAATGGAAATCTAGGGTGTAGAGGAAAACATGCAATGGAACTTACTAAGGAGTCAGAACTGGAAACAGTGATTTAGCCCTCGAGTGTTAGGGTCTGTAAACAAGTCAGGATGGCGCCTGGCATTTTGCCAGAGGGAGTGGTTTGTGAAGTAACGCCAGCGAGCCATTAAGTGTGGAGATTCCTTATTGGTTGACTGATGTATCTAGTTTATGTTAATTAAGATAAGCTGTGTGTAATGTATATATATGTACCCCTCCGGTCCTACAATAAATGACTTCCACTCCTGCTGTATCAATGTACACAAGTTGCTCGTCACCCCCCGGTTATTTTGCTGCAGCCGGACTGCGGCACTTGAGATATATTTGAAGTTTTGAGAATAGCTGAGATTTCTCAGCTCTTTATCATCTGTGCTTCTCTGGGGGCTCTTTTCATGAGGTCCAGTGTGCATGCTATTTTTCATAAATATTTCTATTTTCAAATGAAACATTAATTTTCTCAAGAAAAGAAATTGTATCTTATGTTTTCTGTGCTCCTCCACACCAAAAATTCCCCTGACAATAGTAATGTTCACAAAACATGATTCATTTTTTGTTGTTGATATCTTAAAGCATAGGGTGTTATATTCTCTTGATTCTGAGTAATACTTATTTTCACATATCTGAAGTGTATCTTATAATTTATATAAGTAGTATGTATAGATGTGATTTTTTCCAATTATATTTTTATTGTATCTTCTGATGTAACTTATATATTGTTTTAGTCAGCTTTCTGCTGCTGTGATCAAAACGCTCGACAAGAATAGTTTTAGAGGAAAAGTTAATTTGGGGATGCATGGTTTCAGAGGTGTTAGTACATAGATGGTGTTCTCCCTTCCTCAAGACCTGAGATGAGGCAGAACATCAAGGTGGAAATGCATAGTGGAGAAAAGCAACTGGGAACATGTCACCAGGAAGCAGAGAGAAAGCAAGCTTTGCTCAAGAAAGACAAAATATATACCCCAAAGGCACAGGACCCATGACACCCTCTCCAGCACATCCTACCTGTCTACAGTTACAGTTAATCCCTATCAGCACTGAATGTACTGATTAGGTAAGGTTCGAACAACCAACCAAATCATTTCACCTCAAAACTTTCTTGCATTGTCTCACACATGAGCTTTTGGGGGACACCTCAGATCTTAACCATAACATATACCTCAAAGCAACAGAAAAAGACATTGGACTAGAAGTCAAGATATGAGCATTTGAATCCAAGACCTCCTCAAATATTTATTTAGTCTAAAAAAATAACTCAATTTAGTTATCAATACTTTTGTTTCTTTTCTTTTAAAGCAAGTCAAAAAATCTTCATCTCACACTTAGAAAAAGTTGAGAATATCATGAGCCTTACAATCTTTGAGAGTCAAGGAATATTTCAGATCGTAACAGTTGGAATTAATAAAACAACTTACCATTTTAAGTTATTTGTTCATCCTTTGTGTTTCTTTTGAAAAGATGTTTTTGTAATTAAACTTTTAAATAAATGCTATGAAACAAGATGAAAACACCTATTTTTTTCAGATCATAGATTCTTTAGATTACAACTTTATGTATTTGTATGACCATATTAGCCTCTCTGTGATTTCCTCCAAAATTTAAAATATAATTGTGTAGACATTCCATAGACTCTTTATAATAATGTAGTTCTTTAATTCTAGGACCCAAGCAATTATATATGTATCATCAACATTAATGAAAACATATTTGAAAAGATTACACCAATTTTCATATTTTACACATCAATTTTAGATATGCAAAAAACTAATGCAACTTACAATCAAGGAAATAAATTAACAAAAAGTCTTTGGAGACAGGAGAAACTAGTGTTCTCTATTCAATCATACTCTTTACTGAATATACCCAGCAAATTGAGCAAACATGCCCCATGGGTGTGTGCTCATAGGAGCTCTGCTCTAGTGACTTTAAATTTGCTGATGGAGCAGTTTGTCCCTGCTTGATCCTGGAGGAGACAAAAATCCGAAACCATTTTAAGCCCCATGCATTCTCTCAATTTTGTGGCTAAAAAGTTTGGGCACACATCATAATCCAAACCAGGTTTATGTCTCCTCTCCCTGATCCAGGTCTGAATACAGGCTGACTTCTTGGAACAGTTTCCCATTTCTGCTTATAAAACCATCAGGGTCAAAGTCATGGGGAAAAAAGAAGAAAGTTCTTATATTATTGGCCTTGGTTTAAGCAAGTTTCTTATACTCTGGGACTGGCAGAGGGTTTACATTTGATTCTTTCACTCAAATGATTTTGTGCCTCCTTTGGAGATTTCCCAACTGGGCATATTGTGTTGTTCTTCCCAAGACCCAAGAAATCAATCTTCCTGCTGCTCCAACTTAAACCTTTGTTTTTCAGCCATTTTCAACACACATTGGAGAGCCCATAGAACCCCTTAGAGGTCTTTCTGGCTGGATTTCAAATGACCCCAGGCTGCTTCTCCCATATGTCCCTCTTCAGACCCACAGGTTAAACTTATTCACTGGTTGCCTAGGGAAACGTTGGGAGCACAGACCAATCCAAGCCCAGCCATAGCAACCCATTTGCAAAGCAGTTGATGGATCACATGCCAGTCCTCTATGCCTGTACCTACAGGAATCCCATCTCAAAATGCTTATTGTTTTCACCAGGCATACCCTCAATACCCTGCAGTTACTACACAGCTCCCACCAACAAAATCCTCTCTGCCAAATCCTGCAAAATCTCCAACATAATTCTTGCATCATCATTTCTGGATGAAAATAAATGTCTTACAACTTGAAACTTGTTTACATTTCTTTCCTTGAATCTGCATTTTAATTTTACAAATCATATTAAAATCCCTGTCGTGCTTTGAATTCTCAACTAAAACTTACAGTGACAGAAAGATAAAGATGATGTTATATAAGGAAATATTTCACCCTTAAATATTTAGGGAGGCAATTTTGTTCCCTTATAACTTTGGTTAATCAGCAACAGAAATATACGTGTCGGTTACACTGTGACATAGGAGGTAGGGGGAAAGGAGAATATCCCTAAAAAATAAAAGAGACGAACACAGCTTATAAGTAAAAACAAACAAATAAATAAATATGAAAAATAAACTTAAAAGTTTTCAACTAAATAGAAATGTTTGAAAAATTCAGGTCTCTGAAGTATTGTTCATGTACCATGCTGCACCAGAGCATATAGCTCTTTGTTTAGGCTTTCTTTAATGCAAACCCAAGTTCAAAAGGAAGCTTACTATCTTTCAACGTTTAGGTGCTGAGGATTTAAGGTGAGTGGGCTGTATAATGCATCCTAACAGATAAATTGTACTGAGTGCAGCCAATGACAAGTATGTATGTTATAAAGATAAAGAACAACTGGATAACAAGTTTCCTGTACTCACTTGATACGGAAATTAAAGAACTGATTAAGAGAGAAACAAATAGAAGAATAGTTATTGGAAATACTTAATTTGTTATCTGACCCATTTCATAGTTTGGCATTATGTGAATGTAGTCAGTAAAACTGGAAATTGACATATACCTAGATTCACTCAGGATAGGCTAGGTAATGATTTACTGACAGACAACCTCCAAGCCTAATTGACTTAAAATAAATATTCTTTAAAAAATACTTTCTTCCTTATAGTTTGTGTTGTTTTCTGAATCACATGGCCCAATCTGCTAGAATACAAGTGAACATGAGACCCAAGCTGGCCAATCACAGCTCCCCATTACAGGCCCTAGGAATTCAATCTGACAGAGTGATGAAAATCAAGAAAGAACAGTCAAAATCATTTAGAGCACTTTCCTGAAGCTATGTGCTAAGAAGCACTGTTGTTTTCTATTATCATTAGCTATGAAGAAAATATAATTCTTCAAATGATAGTACCTGTTTTTGAAAGCCAGTCTGTCTGCCTGAGCATGAAGTCAACCAAGCAGAAGGAAGAACTAGCAAAAAAAAAAAAAAACCTTAATGACATCCACTTTAGT